CCTATATAAAATCTAACGTCACTTTCTCCCACACCATCTCAGGTAAAGCTAAGGGTTGCAGTAACCCTCCCCATGCCAAAGTAAATAACTCATGTCGTTGGCACATATCACATCTCGCCGCCATGTCATCTACATCTCTACACATCCCCACCCAATATAGCTATGTCGATAATTGATTGCAAGCCTTTTGTACCCTTAAGTGGCCCCTAATCGCACTACCGTGAAACTTGAGCACCAGTTTAGGGATGTACCCTAATGCCTCAATAGCACAAACTGCCCCAGATAGAGTCGTTGTTGTCCCCTCAATGCATATCGATGACTGTCTGGATCCTGTAGCAACTCTGCCCTGTTCTTCCTCAACCTCTCATCCCGTTCACTCGCCTGCCTCATGCTTCCTAATCTAAAGACTATAGGTACTGATAAAGTTGTCAACTAAGGCTCATCCACCTTCCTCGATAGTACATCCACGGGTTTATTCTCTAGTCTTGAAAAATACTGGATCTCAAAATCATATCCTAGTAATTTGGATAGTCATCTCTGATACTCCTCAGTCACCATTTTATGCTCCAACAAATACTTCAAACTCCTCTGATCTTATATAAAATGTCGCCCCAACATATAGGGACGACACTTCTGAATGCCAACATAATAGCCATCAACTATCATTCATATATGAACTTAAGCCTCACCGTGGCAGTGAGCACCTAACTAAAATAGGTAATAGACAGCTAGTCCTTCACGAGTATTGCCCCCAATCCATTCCTCAAACATCTATCTCGACCACATGGTCTACTGAAGCCTAGAAATGCTAATACTGGCATGCTGGTTATGACCCTCATCAATTGTTCAAAGGCTTAGGTCACTGCTTACCCCCACTTGACACTATCTATCTTCAGATCCTCCATCATCGGCCATGCAAAAGTGTCATACCCTTTCACAAATTTTCAGCAATATATGATAAGACCTAAGAATCTTCTCAACTTCTTCAAGCTCCTAGACAAAAATCAATCCAACATAGCCTCAAACTTAGACTGGTCTGTTGATACCTCTGATCTAGCCACGATATGCTCTAGGTACTCCATCTATGACTGTGCAAAGAAGCATTTCTTCAAGTTGACTACAACTGATACTCTCTCAAATCTCGGGTATTGTCCTCAAGTGTCCCATATACTTTGCTCTCTATGACTGTAGATCAAGTCATTTAAAAAAATACCAAAACGAACTTCCTAAAGGTAATGCTAAAAACCCCTGTTCACGAGAGACTGAAATGCAGTCGGAGCATTAACAAGGTCGAATGGCATCACCAAAAACTCATAATATCCCTCATAAGTCCTGAAAGTTGTCTTGTGTGCATCAGCTGACTTCATCTTAACTTGATAGTATCCTGACTTTAGATCAATCTTCGACAACATGATTGCTCCAAAAAGCTCATCTAGTAGCTCATTAATCACTGGAATAGGAAACTTATCCAATAAAATTTTCTATTTCAGAGCCATGGAATCCACATAAGATCTCCAGCTACCATTCTATTCTTCACCGATAAGACTGGACTGGTAAAAGAGCTCACAGTATGTCTAATAATCCATGTCTCGAGCATCTCCCTGATCAACCTCTTTATCTCATCCTTCTAAATTTGGGGATACTGATATGTTCTGATACTAATCAAAGGATCCCCTTCCTTTAATGTAACGACATGCTCATGTTCCGTCGATGGCAGTAGCCCGCTAGATTACTGAAAGATGTCAAAAAACTAATGCATAAGTTGTTAAACACAAATGGGGAACTCTACTGACTATGGATCTCAGATCTACTCTAGACTCTGCAACTCCACCAAGCAGTTCAATCCAGCTCCTCATATTTTCTTGACCATGGTTTTGAGTAAGACCATGATTCCGGACAAGCTAACATCCTCTCTTAGCACCACCTTCCTCCTTTCCACCCTAATATCCATAGTTAGGGGTTTACAATCCATCGTCGGCTCTCAGATCGTCTGTAGCAACTTCATCCCCAGCATAACATCAACACTTCCCACAATCAAGGGAAAGAAGTCCACTACCTGTATGCCTTGAAGTGTCAATTCCAATCCTCTGCAAATTTCCAGGTTTTCTTCACCTTCCACGTCACCATCATGACCCCAAAATTTCTCGTATCTACCAGGGGTGTCAATCTGGGTCAGCGGGTCGGGTTAGGGCCCAAACTGAAAATGACCCGACCCGAATAGGGTCAACTCGAACCCAACACAAATAACAAACGAGTTGAAACTAGGACACGAACCTGACCTGAACCCGAGTTTGACTAGCTAACTCAAACCCGACCTGAGCTTTCATGTTTATTCAGGTCATGTTTGGGTTTTCGGGTTCAACCCGAACCCGACCCAAATAATAAACATGTCAAATTTTCTAACCCAAACCCGACTCGAAAAATATTCAGGTTGACCGTAAACAGAATTTTTTCGAGTCGTGTTGGAGTGTGGGTCAATTTTTGAAACTCCTAGCATCTACCAACTTCAACTCCAACTAGTCCATGATCCGATTTGAGATGAGAAGCTGTGAGTGACCCTGCTATCTACCAACACCGCTACAGGCCGCTCCCTAATCTATCCCCTCACCTTTATGAAGCGATTTGGAGTAAATTCAACTGCTAATTTGAGGAAAATTCCCACTATATCAAGGTGTAAGTGCTCCTCTCCCTCCACTGCCTCTTCCTCCAACTCTTCACTATCCACCTCCCCATCACAAATAGTAAGAACTTGGAGTGTGCGATCCTTGCACCGATGACCTGATGCACACTTCTCATCACATCGAAAATATATTTTCTTTCCTTTTTTGTCCAACACCTCTACCTCCATGAGGTGCTTGAAGTTAACTGCTGGATGGGCCCCCATATTCCTCTCCTTCGGCGACTCCATCTGAAATGACACCGTCTGAATCCTCAGTGTCATGATCGTCGAGGTGCACATGTGTAATCCTCCCATAGTGCGTTTTTGCTGCCCTCTTCATACGGTCCTTGTCTTCCACCATCTCTCACTCCATCGTCTCTCTCAATCTCCATGGTTTCAACTGTCGGAGGATTACATGTATGTTAAGCTTGTTACCCTTCATGAAATTTCCCTCCAATATTGTTTCAAAAATCCCACTTACCCGTCCTGACAAAGACACAAATTTCTCCCTATACTCTATGATATAGTCCCTTCGAGTTAAGGCAGAGAATTATCGAATGACTCGTAAATATTCCAACAAGCAATCCTTAAATTCATTCATGAACAGAATAGTTATCTAACCTCCCTCCACTGAAACCATACTAGGGCTTTTCCCTCCAAACATAAATTTGCAGCCAAGAGCTTCTCCTTCTCATTTAGCCCATTTATCGTGAAAAATCATTCAACCCGGTACACCCAACCCTATGTCTTGCCCCTTGAAGATTGACATCCTCAACATCCTGGCCCTAGCATCTCCACCCCAACTTCCTCTCCCTCTAGTATTCCCCCATGTATCTAGGATGAGAAGTCCTTCAATCGTAGTCATACCCTTGCATAGCCTAATCCCCCTATTTTGGCCCAACCCCCTCCATTAGAAATCCCTAATTCACCACCCCCCCCAATCAAATCCCTAGGAGGATGTTCTTGACAGTGGATGCTTTCAGCCTCATGTTCCGCATGTCCGATCTCTTTTCCTTTAGATTTAACCAAGGATTCTCCGATCAAACCTTAGTTAACCATCATCAGATTTTGGATTCCATCTCAATAAGCCTCCTCATCATCTTCTCCAAGCCCCCAAATCAGTTCTCCATTGAGGAGAACCTTCCTTATATGGTTGAGAACCTTTCCTCCATCCTGGATTTAATTTTCCCTATTTCTCTTTCCAATCTCTCTTCCAAAACATCTACTTTCTTTGCTGACATCTCTCCAAAGGCATTTTTCAATCACGAAGGCGAGATTATTGTGGGTTGAGATCCCGTCGTTGGCTTCCTAGGTAGCCCAATTCGCGACTAGGGCACACCGCACTGCATCCCAACTAGCTCAAATTATGATTGTATTTGCAATCTCGACTTCAATTCTCAATCCGGTCATTGCTTCCCAGGTCACCAAAATCGCGACCGTTTCGCGAGTTAGGTCACGAAACGGCGCTTCAATGCTGTAATCTGATGGTCTCTCAGAAATCGAGCTCTGATATCAATTTTATATGAATCAGAGCCAAAACCAGCAAATTAATTGCTAGAAATAAGTGAAAAAAACACAAATATGGCTAATTTGATTAATCTCCAAGCAAATAAACAAGATACAATTGGTGATTTATAATTCTAGAGGTAGATCTGCTCTCATAAAATCCTAGATGCCCCTAGAAACAAGAACAGAAAAAAAAAAAACATGTATCCAAACATAAAAACAAACCCTAGGTAATAATCCTAATAAAACACCTCCAAAACACATTCAAACATCCTCCCCAAACCCCTCCTAATTACTCTCTTCGCAAATGTGATTAGGGGCTTAACAGGCCCCACCCAAGGGGAAACTAGGCTGATAGAACCATAGAAAAAATGAAAGGTTGAGAGACATCGATCATAAATGAAAAAGTAACAATATTTTTATTTTTGTGCAGCTTCTTTTTGGACATTCTGGTTACCCTGCCCATTTCAAGATGTACTGCTTTCATAAGTTAGCACAAAGTAAGCCTCTAAATAACGATTTAAAGTTGCGGGCTCTTTTAAAGGAATATTAGTGATGACACTGTATATATCTGAAAAAAAATTAAGCAATCTTCAGTTAGATATTTTACAATCATTTGTCGATTTACAAGTCGTAAGTTTGATCACAAAGGAATATCTCCCAAACCAAATTGTTTCGCCTGACCTGAACGACTATGGTCAACTATTTATGAAAAAAAAAACCTCGCAAAGCGGTGCAACAAGTAGCTCTAAAAAAATGATTTAAAAAATTGATCATTTTCATGCCAATTTTACAACATACTAGAAAGTGTTAACATCATAAAACGTAATTTTACCTGAAGCTGCTTCACCAACAGCTGAAGGGGTATTCGGCATCACTCTTATTATTCGGCCGTGGCCAGACCATTCCTGCACCACATAAAGCAGCACTACTACAGCAAAGCACAAAGCTAAATAAAAGGAAGAAAAAATCGAATGCTATACATGTTAAGAAATTGGAATGTGCGAAGTATGTTTAGAGCTAGAACTGGGGAAGGTCAAAATAAGACAAGAAAATGCGCAAAAGAAAATCCATCATGCCCTAGAATATATTGGAGGAATTAAAACAATAAATAGCACAAATAAGGAATTTTATCATCGCTTGTCAGGCAATAACACATGTTATTCACTTGTTATGCATGATGTCAATATCTACTGCATATTGAAATACAAAATTGTTACAAGGCAGAATATATGAAAAAATTACAGGTCAAAATAAACATCTAAAACAGTAATAATTGCCATTGGAACTTGAACATATAATTGCATGATAGTACAACAAAAGTAGACATATGATCTTTTAGAAACTACGGATTAATGCCAAGGAAGAAAATCAAGATCATAATTAGAATCATTATCCCGTTGATTCATGCTAAGGAAATTAGAATCCTACAAGTCATGCCAATAAACGAAATCCAAAACCTATTTGGGCATAGAAAGCATAATAAGAAACTCCATATTTAAAATCTAATTGAAGATATGTATAAAGTAGGAAGGCTATTTGTAATGTTGTGGATATTTTCATATTTTGGTACGTTCTCTTTATTTCCTTTCTAGATCAGTCTATATTGTCTTGTAGAAAATACTCAGAAGAATAAGAAAAATTTCTTCCTGGACTTGTGTTGCCCGTAAGATATCACATCACTCGGACATGTTTCTCCGGGCATCCACTTTTAACACAACCCTCACTTTCGCATATATTCCTACAACAGCAGCCTCCAACTCCAGCCACCTCTTGCAAAAACAACCTTCAATTGCAGTCTTCATCGTTTTTCTTCTTTCTCTAATTCGATTATGAAAGGTGTATTAAGATCTACAGACAATACATGAAGAAAAAACTACAAGATGTCTTCTGCATGTCTTATTTAAGCTAAGGAAGTCAACTAACAGATGTTTTTACTAAAAGACTAATGGTCAAACATAATTTGAGTTTTGATAGTTACAGGTTAATTATGAAGATTATTGATTTCACTTTGGTAGCCTTGGGGTGGATTCTATAAATCCCTAGGGTTATGATATTTTAAAAGACAGATTTTGAATTCAATTCCCTCTCTCCCTTCTTTTTATGTTGCACTCAATTCCCTCTCTCCCTTCTTTTTATGTTGCACGAGAGTTCTGGAGCAAGAACAAAATAGTTATTTGTCATTATTTGTCTCCTGCTGCTACTGCTGACCTCTCCAATCACTATTGCTACCTAGGATGAAGAAGGCCAAAGTCCACTCTGCTGCAGGTTTCAGATCACCTGCATCTGTCCCGAACTACAGAAGCCTGAACTGCTGTAGGAGTTTGGTTGCAACCAAACTGTCGTTTTTCAGAACTACAACAAGCATGATTTCAGCGGAGGAGGCAGGTATCAGCAAGATTGAAGGAGTATTATCCATGAACTTAAATCTTGAAAACGAAAAGGCTAATTGAAATAGAAAAATCCTGATTTCAAAAAGGCTTTCAATCAATAAGTGCTGAAAGGTGATCTCCATCTATCCTTTTTTGTACATACAATTAATATTAAAGAAACAGGAATAAAAAATAATAAATGCATTGACAATATAGGATATCAAAAAGTTCACAACATAACATGATTTGCCTTTTGATACTGAAGATGAAAAGCATAGTTCATGCCTCAAAAGTTGGAAGTGGCATTGTCAAGAGAACCGTTGCAAGAGTTGGGAGCAAAAAACTAATCAAATCTTGTTAAAAAAGCTCACAATGCAATCTTCATGAGCAGAGAGATGATCCCTAGAGGAGATTGCTAAAGAGCCAACCACTGACATTTGGAGAAGCTTGAATCCGAGTATTTGAGAAGGCCACTTCCAAAACAATTAGGATGTCTACATACACTAGATATAAAATCCAAATATTTTAAGGATCATTTTATATATCCTACACCTATATGCAACCCAAATTGAGAGCAACTGACGGCCATAAGCTAAGAAGCCACTGAAAGAAGAACGGAGAAAACCTAGTCTTTTGGTAATGTCTCCGCCACAGAGTTTGTAGTCAATAGGTTTTCAGGCATATATGAAGAGGAATTATTGTGAGATAAAAGATTCTATTTAGATTACTTTTTAACCAAATTGCGCCAAGAGTTTATGTAGTGTTAAAACAGGGACATTTGTATTTCTTAGATTGTTCATAGAAGAACAATGCTTCACAGTTATCATCACGGGGATGCTTATTCAAAAGTCAATCGTTAGCAAGATAACATACTCAATTTTCTAATACAGAAGGCAAAATTTAGTTGCATGCTACACAACGTATGATGAAGAACAAATAATCCTTAAGTTGATATGTTATTAATGATTATACATGTATAGAGATAAAAATGAATTCCTATGAAAACAAAATGAGTCTCAATTTGATATATTATTGATGACTTGTACCAATAGGGCATCAAAGGTGAGCCCTTATAAAGACAAAAGAGTCCTCAAATTGTTATGTTATTGATGACATGTACATATGAATAGTTAGATGGAGATTATGGAGCCTGACACCCTCAAAAAGTGAGATTAATGTTCCAACCAGTTTGAAAATAAATATACCTGCAAATCTTTGATCTTAATACCAGCAGCAATTGATACTAGAAGTTTATCATCTGTAAATAATGGCTTCAGCTCTAAAAGAACCTTTTTAGCTGCACATAAGAAAATTAAGAGAAAAAATTAACATGTAAATAATAAAATTAAATGAAAATAGGAAATGTTATTTAACTTTTTGATTGGAGAATAATACAATTGTCAGCTAGAAGAATAAGAAACAAAAAAAAAAAACTCAAAAAGGAATCCGAATTCAAAATGTTCATCTTAGTTTTGTTGAGTCCACAAAGTAGAGGGCAGGGATTTCTCTATTTTAAAGTACAAGACTCACCTAAGAAATAATAACAATTTTAAACTTGAACACAAACAAAGCATAGAAATGCACTTGCATATTCAATAAACTCGATAAAAAAATGGTGAAATATTTATAAGAAAATAATTAAATATTAATAATTAGGTGCATTACATAAGGATCAAGCAGACAAACTGGAGCTTTAGTGACAAAACAAAGCCAAATGAGGGTAATATATCAAAGAAACAAAACTAACAAAATAAATATTGCAAAGTAAAGCCAATAACAACAAGATTCCTAAGAGATTCTACTTCAGATTCAAAATCAGAGCTTAAGAATGTCTTCTAAAAATAGGACGTTGTATCAAGATCAATCAATATAATAACAAAAAAATGCAACTTAAACAAAATTAATTTAGCTATGTATCTCAACAAAGGCAACATAAATTTTATGAAGTTACAACTGATATTGCTACACTTAATGGGAGGCATGATCATGTGGCATTTCAATTTAGATGAATAAACACGATAAAATAATTTAAAAGGTAATATCTGTCTGATTTTTAAAAAGTAGAGTTTGCTAAAGCTAGATTAATGGGAACTAGGGTAGAAAGTAAAACCAACATCAGTTGATATGAAATATAAACCTGAAGGACAGAATTTACTGAGTGGTATAAATATCAAAAACATAATCATTTTAAGAATACTTTAAATGAGAGAATAATAATATATGTGAATATTTCTCAGGCTTAAAAATTTTGCGGCAAACCATCAGTGCCTTGAACATTATTATATTATTAATATATGTTTCATTTAAAGTCCAAAAAAATTAAGCATAAATTAATTTACAATTCTGAGAAGATGAAAGATGCAGCATACTGCAAATTTTAAAGGTATACAGATATTACAGTTATCCTCCTATTATAACTACTACGTATTTGCTTTATATTTCTAAATAAATAGAATCTACATCCCACTCAAATCTTCTGTTAAAACCAAACTATCACCAATATCATCCACTGCAAAATTTGATCTTATTTAAAAAAAATGTAGTTTATGAACATTCTTTAGCTAATGAATTCAACTCAAACAAAAAAATAAAGTTACGAAATGATCCTAAATCTAACTTTTCCATATCTAAAATCCCACATCTACACCAAAACAAGCTTATGAACCTACAACTAAAATTCAGTATGAATTAATATTAACTATAAGAACATATCTGTGAAAATCTGAGAAGTTCGCTCTCTATCTCTATCTCTATAGCTATCTCTCGTGGGCTAGTCGGCCACTTCCAAATCCCGGAAAATTTGACTGAAAAACTTTAAAAACCATTGATTAGTTTATTCCCTTACTATTATATGTTATTTTATATTTTATTTCAGAATTATTGCTTTTCCTAATTTATGCTAGATATATTTGGTAAGGGTGTAAATTTGGAGGGATTGTTTTTCCTATGTGTGTGTGTTTGTGTGTGTGTGTGTGTGCCGCGTAGACCCCTCGGGTCGGGGGTTCGAATCCCCTCTGGCTTAGTCGGCCTTAAGAAGATTGTGCTCGAATTGTTAGACACATCAGGGGTGGTTGGAGGCTCGTATAATAGCCTCTGGCCATTCCTTTTAGGAATATATATATATAACCTTGGTTTTAGGAATGGATTCCGGCAAAAAACTGTGAAGGGGGCTTCCACCCGAGACGGTCAAACTGTCATCCTGGAGATTCTGTAGTTGAGGATTACAGTTTGACCGTCTCGGGTGGAAGGCCCCTTCACAGTTTGTTGTTGGAATTCATTCCTAGAACCAAGGGGAGGGGGAAAGGAAAAAACTCCCATCATGATTGATCTCCTCTACTCTTGCTCGGCACTGAGCTACAATTTCACGATGTCTAATTTTGGGGTATACAAGTACATTTTGGGTATCTTTTTTGAGTCTTGTATGCCTTCTGAGTGGGTTCTTAGAATCGGCTCACTAAAACATTTGTATCGACTTTCTATCAATTAAATTTTTCTTTGGCGATATATATATATATATATATATATATATATCTTACATGAGAATACTAACAATCAAGAAATTATTCATCCACAAACTTGTTTTCTAGATGGTATCAGAGACCGAAAACATAATCAATCTTCGTCCTGCCGCCAAACCTCCTCCATTCAAAAACATCTCTGTCGACACTAGTAATCCCTGCAAGCCCCATTCCCAACTCTTCGATGGGTAAAAATATCACGTGCGGATTAGATGTAGATCGATGGTATTGGCGTGGTATCGGAGTGGTATTGAGGTACAATACCACCTCAATACCACAGACCGCACATACGGATGTCGCACCTAATATTCGCTCTTTCGATGGAGTAGGAATCCCCCTTTGTTCCTATCTACAGACGGAAGTCCTCCTTACATCAGAAACAGCTTCCTGCAAGCCCTCCTTTGGCTGAAAATTCTTTCAGAGACGGGCAAAGGCTCTAGTGGAAAGAAAAGGCAACAACAATATCCACAGTCGTCAGTGCTCTCCACTGAAACCAACTATAAACATTCGTAAAGACTCATAGGGTTGATGCCCAAGTACGGGAATGAAGACTTCAACTTCTGCTCCAGATGTTAACTCTAAGGGTCTGTTTGGGGCAACTGCAGCTTATTGGATAATCTGCTGATAAGCTAGGTGCGATAGCTAGTACAAATTTTTATTTTTTTGGAAAAGCTAGACCGCAGCCAGAAAGCTGTCACCGCACCTAGACAGGTACGGTGTGAAAACGTTGTTTTCAGCATTTTGAAAACGCATAAGCTACCAAAACACAGTTTACCCAAACAGGTCAGGTGCATTTTCAAAACGCCACTGCACCAGATAAGCTGCCCCAAACGAACCCTAAATCAGAGACCAGAGATTATTTCCACATAACTTCTGAACTCTCTAACTCTTTCAATGGTCACAGTCTGTTTTTAGGTATATTTGCCTCAAATGAAAAGAGGAACATCTCATGGGAGAATGAGATTACTGACCTCAACCACCGCACATGAAAGAATCAAGTTCATATGATTATCTTAGCTAGTCAACTCAATGACCACTAAAGTGGGAGAAAATTTCCTGTTTACAAAATTGTCAAAAAACTAGGACACTGCAAGAGATATATTCCAACACTGAAAATGTCGCAGAGTTGTTTGAGATTGAAACCAAGCTTCACGACCTTCATCAAAGAAAACTAAGTGTTACCCAATACTTCAACACCTTGACAAAATATTATGTACAATTGAATATTTTTGAAACACATGTGAAAATGTCCACATAATACTCTGATGTTTAAATTCATTATCAAGAAGAAGAAAATCATCAAATTCCTAGTAGGACTAACTCAGAAATTGGCTAAGGTGAGAGGGAGAATCATGGGAACAAAACCCCTTCCATCTACCCATAAAGCCTTTGTTGAAGTTAAGAGAGAAGAAAACAGAAAGAAGTTAACTAAAAATGTGGGTTCACCAAGTATTGAAAGCTCAGCCCTGTACACCCATAATTCCTCCCATGACTCAAAGCATAAAATGAATCATCCCAAATGTGACAACTACAAAATCTCACATGTGAATATTGCAAAACATATCACGAACAAATATTGGAAATTTCATGAAAAGTCTGCATACTGGAAACCTGGACAAGGAAGGAAAAATCAAGAAAAAAAGGCTAATGATGCTGTCACATCTGAAAGGTCAACTGAACCATTCACCAAAGAGCAGCTTCAAGTAATAAAAAAACACCTCAAAGGTAATTCAGAGTAGCACGCCAACCTCGTGACACACCAAGATAATATATCCTTCTTTCATCTTGCTAGTAATGGGAGATTTAGAACTTGGATCATAAATTCAAGAGTATCTGATCATATGATCAGAGACATCAATGCTCTAGTTAACTATCAAGAGTCTTCTACATCTAGATCGATAAGACTTACAGACGAATCACACTCAAATATTGATGGGAAGAAAGATGTGGAGCTCTCTTAAGATATCACTCTTTTTTTGTTTATATGTTCCACAATTGGACTATAATTTGATTTAAATAATCAAGCTTACTCATGATCTAAAATGTATAACTAAATTCCTTGCAAACTCTTGTGAATTTCAGGTGGTGGAGTAGGTGAATGTGATTGGTAGTGTTGAAATGCATCAATGCATATACCTGCTCAAGTAAAATCTCTCTAAACACAAACAATCTCGCTTTCATGTTTACGTCAAATTTCTGAGTTTGTTGAGTTCATGTTTGTCGAAGATCAGGTCTTTTTAAGACACTGTCGCATGAGACATTCTAATTTCAATTATGTTGTTAAGTTGTATCATCATTTATTTATTAATAAAAAAATCTATTTTTTATCAAAGTGAGATATGTCAACCCCACTTAGAGGCATAAAGGCTTGTTGTTGTTGTTGTTGTTGTTTTTGTTCTGAAACATGTCAACTTGTCAAACACACTATAAATAGTTACTCTCTAACTCGGTATAAACTCTTACATCTTTTTTTTATTATTCACAGTGATATTTGGGGACCTCTAAAGGTGAAAATACTAAGTGGGGCCAAATAGTTTGTCACATTTATTGAAGATCACTCTAGAACCACTTGGGTATTCCAAATGAAAGAGAAATTTGAAACAACCCAAATCTTCCAAACCTTCCATGATACAAACTCAATTCCAATGAAAATTTTAATCCTCAAAACTAATAATATAAAGAAATATTACAACTTCATCCTTCGGTCTTTTATCTTTCAAAAATAAAATCATCCATGTGAGTTTATATATTAAAACCAAATAACAAAATATGATAGTTGAGAGAAATAATAGATATCTTTTTGAGGTATCCCGCTCAATTATGATCTCTCATCAAGTTCCAAAATATTTTTAGGGGGAAGCGCTTTTTACTACAGCATACATTATCAATTGAATGTCTACTTAAGTATTTAACTTCAAAACTCTTTTCACATTTTGATGGTTACAAATCCTCACATCAGAGTTTTATCTTCTATTATACAGCTTAAAATATTTAGGTGTGTATCCTTTGTTCATGTTCATTCTCAAGATGCGCACAAAACTTAACCCTAAATCTATCAAGTATATTTTTCTTGGGTATGCCACCAACAAAATAGGGTATAAGAGCTACTGTCATGTTACCAGAAAATATTACAACACCATGAATGTCATACTTTTTTTTTTAAATCAATCTTACTACCTCATATTTGATGTTTAGGGAGAGATTATAAATGTACGTCAATTTTAGGATGCACTTGATGACACCTACACGGCCTCACCACTTACTTCACCTAGCCCTCCAATCCAAATTGAGGATGCCCCAACAAACCCAGCCTGAAATCCAAAACTAATAAAATTGTGTGTACACAAGAAGGAAGAAAAACTGAGAGCCAGTTGAAGACAACTTGCAAGGACATAACTTCTCAAATCAAAACCCGGGTCCGCACTAACCTAAATTTTCAAATAATGAGGAGTCTAGTACTCATAAGTTATCCTCTTTCTCTTCTGATGCTGGTGATAAAGAAATTTGTATTAGATATCTAGTTCAGAGGTATGCATTATGGGAAACTATCTTCATCCGACAAAACTTTTTTCCTAACCATGATAGCATACAACAACAACAACAAGCTTTTATCCTACTAAATGGGGTTGGTTACATGAATCCTCGGGATAAGAAGCCTGTTAGATGCAAATGGGTGTTCAACATCAAATACAAAACTAATGGGGGTATTGAGAGATTCAAAACAAATGAGGCAGAATTTTGAAATTTCTCAAGAAGACTCTTGGTTATAAATTAATATTTAAGAAAAATAAGAAACAAAAAGGTGGAAGTTTACACCGATGGCTAATTGGGTTAGGGAACTCGCTGACAGAAGGTCCACCAGAAGTTACTACCCCTATGCATGGAGAAACTTAGTGACATGGAGAAATAGAAAGCAAGCGGTTGTTCCTAGAAGTAGTACAAAAATCAGAGTATAAAGCAGTTGTCTTGGGAATCTGTGAAGAGATTTGAATTCAAAAGTTAAGGGAATTGGGATGTGCTTCAAATAAAAATATACAGATGTTTTGTGGCAGTCAAACAACTATAACTATTGCCAACAATCCTACGCATCATGACAAGATCAAGCATATTGAAATTGATAGACACTTTATCTCTAAAAAGGTGAATGGCGGAATGATATAGCTAAGATATATCCTAACACATCAACAAGTTGCTAAAGTCTTCAACAAAGCTCTTCCTTGAATTACCCTTCTCAGAACTTAATATCAAAATTGGTCTCTACAACATCTACAACACAGCTTGAGGGGGTGTGTGTAAGTCTGATAAGCTCTCTCTTTTGTGCGGACTAGCCAACCGCTTCAAAATCCTAAAAAGTTTAATGGGGACGGCTTAGGAAACCCTTGATTAGTTTATTTCATTTATATTCTATGTTATTTTACTTTTTATTTCAGAATTATTTCCTTTCCTAATTTTGGTTAGATATATTTGATAGGTGTGTAAATTAGAATCAATAAAAATCAAGGAATTATTCCTCTCAAAACCTATTTTCTAAAATATCTAAACATAAGCCTCAGTTAGAATCTAAAATATACCTCAAACTATGAGATAACATATGATTCATATTGAAATTATTGAATCAATTGAGCAATCTGATAATTTACCTCATAAATTATTTACTGCAACTATCCATATGTATGGTTATTAAATTGATATTGACTTTGATGTTGGTTATTTGTTTCTTGATATACAAACTAAAAAAAAACTTATTTGAGAAAGACAAATTATGCTAAAATACCCTTCATTTTATTAATAGTAAGGACCTTCAAGAAACTATGGAAAACAAATCTTCATCTACTAAGTTAAATCAAAAGCACATATTTCATTATAATTAATGTTTAAATCATATGGATTATTTTCCTTTAAAAATGCTATCAACAGGTATGATATAGATACCATTTTTGTGCAATTTTACACATTTCAAAGGAAGTTTTTATGTAATTTTATGAACATTCATTTCAATTTTCCTAATCATTTCATCCATTTGAAATTATCCTATCATGCAAGTTGTGGACAGAATGTAAATATGAAGTTATTGTGGGAGCATAAATCATATCATAATTGTCCATTATTAATATAAATGACTTTCATAAAGAAATTCAGTAAAATCTTGTCGTTAATTATACAAAGTATACATCAAATTATGCTAATATAATTTACACGAGATTCAAAAAAATAAAAATGATAATGGCACCATATAAATCTAAAAAAAAAACAAACAAACAAACCTTTAATAGTTTAACAGCAAATTTGGACGAATGCGTAGTATTACTAATTTTTATTATGCATCATCAAACTTTATATCATGAACCATCAACAGATAGCTAGAGTTCCATTTTTTTAATTTACCTCTTCCTAGTTTTAATATTAAATTTGTGGTCAACATATTTCCCAAACATTCAAACTAATCCTATTCATGATACTATTGCTTGTGATGAAATAATGCCGAACACGTATAAAGGTACCTCACAAGTATAAAGTTTGTTCCACAAGTAATGATTCAAGCATATTTCTACAGGAAATCCAACAACAATGGTTAAAACCATTAAAAACTATCCACTAAACGATTCATCAAAGCCTGAATTTTCAAAGCCCAACAAAATTAACGTGCATATCTAAAGTTTATTTTATCATAGATATTTTAAGTAATTGTGTACCTTCAAAATTTTTACTTTATTGAGATTATGCCAATATCATTATGTTTGTTGGGATGCTGTTAGCAACTTATTAGCAGCTCATTAACAATTTGTTATTGGTTTATTAATGGTTTGTTATGTATTCCATCCATGAAGATAAAAAAATTTATTCATGCAAGACCATTATGGCAAGAGCAAAACTGTTGTTGTGGATGTAGCAACTCTTCTTTTGTATCTACTCTGAGACTTTGATCCTTAATTAAATATTAAACTTGCAAAATTCAAAGAAACATGAGGCATTTTTTTGGGTGGCTAATAACTTTTATAACTTGATCCAAGCAAAAGGCTTGTACAAGCAAAACTTCGATATATTCAGCTTAGGTGAAACTAGCGATACATTTTTCAGCTGTATCACACAAAGTCATAATTGCCTATCTCTGATGAGTCATATGTAGAAACATCTATGATATATAGCACATGGTGCACAACCTCTAAAAACACCAAAAGAAGTTTATACAACTGCAAGCCTTTTATGCTTAAACATATCAATGAATTGGCGGACAAAATAATAATTTCTCCTTAGAAAATAATTTTGTCAAATAAAAGAGAAAATGATGAAAATTAAGAGCACAAAAGAAGAAGCTCCTTTCCTTCATTCAATTCAAAGTAGCAAATAGCTTTCCCGTTTAGAAAAACAGATGCAAAAAAACAAGAAAATTAGGTGGCTATTGAAGCAATGCATACCAACTTGTGGTTTCACAGAGAGAATTACTATGTCACTGTCAGCAACCACCTAAAAAATAAGAAGAAATATCAAAATTAGAATTATGAACAAATTTATAGCATAAAATAGCAAACACAATTGTCCAAGATTATTTTGCACAAGCATCTATCCACCAAGGTTGTTAAATTTTATAAATTAATGGGAAATACTCATGTTCTATTGCCAATTTTAATCATCAAAGAGTTTTGATGTCATTAAGAAAGCATAAATAAAGATAGTGAAATACTCAAAGTTAATTATTGGGAAGCATAATTTAAGCCACACAATGTTAGATTGAACCTGACTTGGATACTAAGACCAGTAACACATGATCTACTACCAAACTCTAAAAACAAAAAAAAAAACATTATAGTTGTAAATTTAATAGGGAATTATAAGCTGGCTTAGGTTGTGTTGCAATATGTAGTTTCTAATTTGCTGTCCAAGAGCCTTCTATACCAAAATTTTGTACCAAAAATGCATAATGGGAATCTTTGCCAAGTGTTGTGCACTCCCATTAAATGGCTCCACAACCATGAAAAAGGCATTTGGTGGATAGCTTATCTATCTCTGTATGGGGGGATGGCTTTTTACTACATAAAATGTAGGTTAGCACATAATTACCCAATTAAGCCTTGGAGTCATATATATTGCATAAAAAGGAAATTACCCTTCAATTTGGCTCTACCAAGAAAAGAGCACATCAATAATGCTTAAGTTAGATACAGAGAACCTCAACCTCAAGGAAATGCAATTTTTTCACATCACTATGACATAAAACATTGAAACTTTGAATTCATGAATAATAGCTTCTCAGCTATCATAAAGTCTCTAAATAGATAAAAACAGAAGGTGTTGTCAGGAATTATTTTGCAAATACTAAAATATGTGAAAAAACTTGCATATTGAGGTCAACAAGTTCAAGATCTTTAATGTTTGTGTGGTTTGCTCCGATGGCCAAAATATTGTGCCATTCCCCAAAGATCTTCACAGGAATCACAGCCTATTTATTACGTAGATCGAATTAAATGATGTTTCTCAAAATTTCAAATACCATGTTGGGTGAGATATAAGATCTGGAAGTAATCAAGCACAAGAAAATAATAAGCAGGGGTATTGGGAGTGAAGCCTAATTTCACTTTGACCTCAAATTCTTGAAAAGTAATTAGATTTAATTTTTAAAATCAAGTGAATCTCAAATTTAAAATCGTAGTTAACATCTAATATATCACATGTTGCTCCAAAAAGGAGGAAAAATAAATAATTGAAAGGCACCACTCATTATTCTCCTTAATTCAGCTAGGTGTAGAGACAGAGGTCAGAGAAGTAGCCAATATAGAGATCAAAGAATGGTATGTAGTATTTATCTTAGTTAGTTAGTGTCATACAAATCAAGTGTCTCTATTTGGTGCTCAGCAATGACCACTGAAGGATCAGAAGCGACAATTAGAAATCAAAGGCATTTCAAGAGGAAATCAGCAATGGTCACAGGGATGGTGATCAACAAGGTTCTTCAACATAAAATGCGGCAGGCTTTCCTCTAATTTATATGAGTATAATCAGTGGAGGAATCATGTTTAGGTTGGAGAGGGAATAAGAGATGAATAAAGAGGAAAATACTAGTGTGATAAAAAAAAAATCGGGTAAATTTGTATCATGTGTTTGTTTAGGACTTTTATTTATCCTTTGGGAGGTTGTTAGTAAATGTAAGCCTCTGAATTACATAAAATTTTGATTTTTTTTCCTATTGTTTTCTTTCTCTTCTATTTTCTCATTCTCATGATTGCCATTGCGATTAGGGGTGTGGTTTTCCCCAAAAATTGGGTTCAAAGCTATGTGCTTTGGAGCTCAATGGAAAAATAGGAGCAACGATATGCAGAGACAAAAAAAAATCAATGAATGGACAATTTGATGACGATGAATTTTGGTATTGAGAGAAAAAGATCGAGGACTATATACACCATATAAATTTACATCTACCACTCCGAGTCAAAATCGACATTTGTAATCAAATAAAACTAAGAACTCTTGGACAGAAGGACATTAGGGTTGTACGCATTTCACTAAAAAAGAATGCTTCATTAAACATATTGCACAAGAAGACTAATGTCAGCGTGGAAAAAAACTATGTTAGACATGTACAAGAAACCTTCGATGATGTATAAGAACATCTAATGAGAAAAGTTTTTAATCTCAAGATGGATAAAAGTGCTTCCCAAGCGACAAAAATCAATGCTTGATCTGATCACACGTCAACTGAGCCCCACTAACATCAAGTTCAATGAAAATACTCATAAATTGAGCTTGTTATAATCACCGACAGAAAATTGGGCTAAAATTGTGATATTTTTCTGCAATTAATGTTGATATATAAAAACAATCTCAATGATGCCCGTGAATTGATCTAAAATGAGGGCGCCACGTGACAAGAATCGGGTGAAATTCCTTCTTCTGTTGTTTCGAATGTTAAGAGTAGTGGAAAAAAAAAAGAAAGAGTCAACAATGGAGATAGATTTGAATTTCAATAGATGAGTGAATCAAAAGGTCGAGGTAGGATATCTTGGTGATAAGGCAAGATGAGCCACATGAAAATAAACTATCCACAAAGTAAAAATGGCTAGAGTTCGAATTAGATAGAAGCTATATGAATATTACAAGTGAAGTAATGATGCATTGCTCATTAGACTGGATAATCCTATAAATCATGTTCATATGCATCTTTTCATTCAGTATAGAATTATTCTATAGAAGATTATAGCAACGTCCGTCTTAAGTATGGTAAGCTCTTGAACTTTATCGGAATTGGACAGTTGCAAATCAAAATTGATAATGAACTATGTAAAAATTTCATAATGTGAAGCATATTTCTAGCTTGAAGAGCAACACGATCTCGATTGAGCAACTTGGTAAAAAAAGCTTAAATCTCAATCTTCCATAATGATACTTGAAAAGTGACCAATGATCTTATGGCGATAGAACGTGAAAATAAACATGGTACCATGTATATGACATTGAACGCTAGAACCATAAAAGCAAGTATTATGTATTTACATATCCGACACCCAAAGTTTGATAATTTACACTTATAACAACTTGGTATCATAAACTATAGCATAAAAGGATGTATTTCACTTTTAAAAAGGTTGTAATTGTGATATTTTTGACGTGATGTTAAGGATTTGAGTGGAATACATGTAAATATGAATGTTTAGGCGTTAGATATGTAAAGACATAAGAATTTTGTTGTATGTATGTAAATGCCCCTAAATAGTGTAGCTGATGATTCTAAAGCTACAACATTATAATTTTTTTCTCAAGAGGGAGCATCCAATAGCAAATGGGCATTGCAATGCAGATGGAATTTCACGATCAAGGAGCAGCGAATTAACAAGAAAACAAGAATTGCACATCATTGCTCATTTTTTTCTCCTATCATTCGGCAAATCAACGAATATCTAATGCAACAATGAAATATTAAGTTTAATCTAGTTCGATTCATGCGGCTTCCACTTCAAGGTAAAAGGCTTCTCGTTTGCAGCCACGACGAAACATAATTTAAAAGAAAGGAACCGAATAAGCATACAGAATTACGTTAGCAGGCAGAAACCTAGGGGCATTATTTTTCTTTTCTGTGGCGAAGAAGTTGAGATTAACCTACCTGGCCGGAGGACTCCAATATCTCGACGCCGAAAGACAGGAAATCCGCCTGTCGATTCGGTCGACTGTGATAGGTTCGGATCGAGGTGGGGGAAAGGAGACCGGACTTCACCACCCCGCGCGCGATGCTCTCCGCCATGTTTCCAGCGCCAACAAAACCTAGCTTATACACGTCCAGCGCCATCGTCGGGCCCTTCCTTCGCTTGCCACGAGCTTCCTCGAGGAGATCAAGATGTGGGAAACAGGCGCGATGTTATAATAATTCCTGCCTAATTTCATGTGTAAATCTTTCTTATATAAATAGCACTTAATTTTTTATGAGATATTTAAGTGCTTAGCACAATTCTTATGTATTTACATGTCTTTACATATAAACTTTCATATTTGCACATATAACAATTTGGTGCTTTAAATTTATGCATGAAAATATATATTTCACATTTTTTAAAAAAAATTAATTTTTATGCGATATGAAATTTTTGAGTGATATGTGTGTAAATATGAAAGTTTAGATATGAGACATATAGATAATTAAGAATTATGTGATATTTATGTAAATAATCGAATTTTTAAATAATATCTTTTTTATAATATACTTTAGAGGCATGCCGCACAATTCTTATGTATTGACATATCAACACCTAAACATTCATATTTATTTGAATATCACTGAAATTTTTAACATCCCATCTAAAATACTATCATCGCTAATTTTTTAAAAGTGAATTACACATTCTTTTGTGCATGTCTGACACCAAAGTATACAAGTGTAGATATTAAATTTTTAGGGTTAGATATGTAATACGTAAGAATTGTTTGGTATATATGGAATTTATTTTATATTTTAATATGATTGGCACACTAAAATATTAGATGAATAAATATTCAATTCAAAATATTATGTATATAAATTAATTCAAATTATATATATATATGTCTCCCCTTATCAAAACAACAAGATCAGTAGGAGGATAAACATTTAGAATGGGACCCAGGGAAGAAGCACCCTTGTAGCAAGCCAATTAGCACGTCTATTACATTCTCTTGGTATATAACTCCAAAGGTTCTGCAAGTTGTATTGAGAGGAAATAACTGTAATATGCTTGAGCAAGGGAGCAATGAACCAGGGGGGAGAGACCTTCCCTAAAGAACTGAACCAACCAAGAAGAATCAAGTTCCATGTGAAGATAAAATCCAACCCATAACAGTGACAATTTTGAGTGTCCAAAACATAGCTAGAGTTTGAGCATGCAAGGCATTGATTGCAGAGGTCGGAGAGTGAAAATACAGTAGACAGTTTCCAGTAAAATTTTTGAAAATGGCCCTCATACCAGCAGAAGACTTCTTTATACTCGCATCAGTGTTAATTTTTATCCAAGGATGCAAAGGTTTCCTCCAATAGATCATCTTGCTATGAAGAGGGGTGGCCTTTGCTGGGGCAGACTCTTTTCTGTAGGACCATGCTTTGTTCTTCACATTGTAACCCATGGTTGTAGTAATCTTGTAAATATAAGTCAGGCAGTTGGTACTGTTCATAGTAGAAGTAGTAGCAGCTCCCTCATGTTTTTTATTGTTTCTAATCACCCAAAGAAACCAAGTGATAATGCAAGGGATGATTTCAGCCTGAATCTCCTTCTAGGTTCTCCAACAATCAATAAAATTGTGACGGTTAGCACAAGACTGAAGTAAATGTTGTTGTGCTGTCATATGCAACCTGACAGATTTGGCAGTATGATAATGAAAGAAAATGTGAGAGAAGGATTCCTCCTGAGCAAAACAAAGATAACACCTGGAAGATCACCTTAATCCTTTTAACTTGAGAATGCCATCAGTAGGAAGAATCTTCTGAAAATATCGCCAAGAAAATAGAGACATAGATGGGCTAAGGTAATGAACCCAAATAACTTTTCCCCATTCCAGAGTAGGCCAATTATTCAATTTGTAGTAAGAATATTTAGAGAGCGATAGATGGTAAGGGTTCTTAGTAATGATTTTGTCAGGCAGATGGGGAGTAATTGGAATTTGAGAAATATTAGATTGTTGTTCAGGGCTCACCAAGTTTGCCAGCATATTCTGATTCCATTGATGATTCAACCAATAATTATGAATAGGGAAGGGAAGATGCCTCTCAGGATGTATAGAAGATGCATTGAGATTGCCCTCAAGTAACCAATTGTCCAACCAAAAACCAATCTTTCCCTTTCCAACCTCCTAGAGATACAGATCTTCAGCAGCAATTCTAACCTTCAGCAGTTCGGTCCAGGTTTTTGAATCACTTGGCTTTCTGGTAGCAGTAAGAGGATGGACTAACTTACAGTATTTCAACTTCATAAATTTGGCCCAAAGAGAGGATTGATCTCTGAACTTGATCCTGAGTTTACAGTAGAAGATTTGATGGAGCTGCTGAAAGGATTTGATACCTAAGCCCCCAGCAGACAAGAGGAGGAAAAGCTTATCCCATTTCATCTAGTGAATCTGTTTGTTTTGACCTTCCCACATGAATTTATTGAGAAAGAGTTCCAAAGTTCTCTGAGTGCTTTCTTTCATTTTAAGCTATTAATTTGATTCCAAGGCCCATTAATGAAAGGTTGGTAACTTAAAAAAATTGTTGCCAAAGCTCAGCTTTGTCACTTGGAGTAACCAACATAAACAAAAGTAGCATAGGTATTAAGGAAGTCACACTGAAGGAAAACATGCAGAAATTGAGGATGATTCACCAGGATCTGATGCTACATATCTGATCTGCGATGAAATATAGTTGTGAAAAATATATAAAGTTGACTCTGCTATACAACAGTGTCAAAAGCTTGATGCAATCTTTTATAAATAAGAAATTGAAGCAATTGAAGCAATTAATGTTGGGATTCTAAATTAATGTTGGGATTCTATGCAAGTATACGTATCATTATCAAGTAATAATGAATTTTCTATTTAAGCCTCAAATATCCATCCCATGGGGAAGGTTGAAATTTGAAATGATAAATTAACTAGGAAATTCATAAAAAGTAAAATGAAATTACTGTCACTAATTGTGAATGTTAAGATATTATCAGAACTAAATTATTTAACTACTAGCAAAACTGAAATGCAAATTTTAAACAGTAACTACTAAACTATTAAACTATGTTCATGTGATGAAGATTTCTTATGTGAAAAACATCTTTCCCACTACAATGAGATTTTGGCAAAATGAGATGAGATAAATGGTTTTAATATGTATTGTGCCAAATAGAAGCAGTTTTAATTCTCTACCTAATACAGTGTTATAGAAAATCATTGGCTAATCTCAGGTTTAATCCCTAAATCTGTGGCTAGGCTAGGAGGATACTGACTCCCACTCCAGAGCTCTCACTTCCCTTCACCTCAAAGCTAACTCTTGCTTTAGTTCTTAAACACTAAGACCGAATTGGGAATTTTAGTCTGTCACCCTAAAATCTCCAATTATACACCCAAAAATATATATTTCCCTATTTATTTGCACTTAATTCCATGAACAAAATTATCCTTCATGGAATTAAATGTGATCCTCACTCTGTTGTAGAACTCATACTCCATTTCTCGGATCATATGTTTCACAACAAATTTTAACAATTCAATTGGCCAGATCGAACAGTAAATTAAGTTCGGAGTTGAAAAATCATCACAATTTATTTTATATTTTAATATTGGCACATCCATATTATCTCTTCATTTTAGCATATTTCAGAGTAGAGGGAAAGATAAAGGAAACTACTCAGACTTTATGAGAAAGATACAACAAAACATAAACTTCATATATAAAAGAAAGTTCATACAACACTATAAAAAATAAACAACACTTATCTGAAATTCTTTCTCAAAGCAAATCTCTTGTAGTCTTTCTTAGGAAATGTAGAAAGAAGAAATCTCTCACTTTTCTCCTTCTCCAACACTCTTAGAGAAAGATTAACACTTAATCTCAACACAAAAATTCTAAATTCTTAAAGAAAAATCACTAATAGACTCTAAAATGATGGTGGAATGAAGATGGAAAAGTGTATGGTATGTAAGAGAATGAATGGTGGCGAGGAATGGCGAAAAAAGAAGCGAATTTTTTGATCAATTTCGGCCCCAAATAGAGCTTAGAGTCGGTACGTACATCCAAAAACTCTTTAAAAAAAAGTCCAAATTCGTCGAATCTTCTAGAAAACGGGGTCTGAAACGACACTAGCACCGTAATTCGATGTTCTCTATCAAACGGCGCTGTCGGCGCTAAATTAATTTTCAACTTCTCCATTTTGACTCCAAATTTTAACATTTTTGCTTCATTTTTGCTCCAAGTCCTAAAATTCAGCAATCTGCAATAAAACATTAAAAATATCTTTCATTAAAGTGTAATATCACAAAAAATGATTATAAAATATGGGTCTAAAAATGCATATATTTTATAAAATATGGGTCTAATTATAAAATATGGGTCTAAAAATGCATATATTTTTGGTGTATCAAAATTCCATAAACTTACATATTACTTGTCCTCATGTAACTCCTTTACTACTAAAAATATGACTTATGGTAAAGAATTTAACTTCTAGATTTCTATATTTTAGTCCACTAAATATAATAGCATAATTTTAGAAAAATTCAAAACAACTCCAGTTAATACCAATGGTATAAGAATATCCAGCAATCAAGTTTAAGATTTTTGATTCTCTATTCTTTTCAAGAAAAATTACAAATTGTCATATTAAAGTCACTTAGAGTATTCATATGAAAAAGTATTCAAGTCACTTAGAGTATTCATATGAAAAAGAACTTCATGAAACTTTACTATTAAATAATTTAATACTCAAATATAAGTTTAGAAAATGTAGGTAAGTCTTCTTCTTTAAGTTGATTCAAGTGTTTCTTTTCTTTTCTTTTCAGAATCCTTTTCAATCATTTTTCTTTTCTTTTCTTTTTTCTCTTCTTTATATATATATATATATATATATAAAGATTACTATATCTTGACAGCCTTTAATGATTGTGAACTTCACTATCCTCTTCTTAAAGTCAAAAACTTTTCACATTTCTTCACTTAACAAATTTAAATTAGCTTAAAGATTTCATAGAGTTTAATTCTTTTCTTCTTACATAAATCTTCAATATTTTTAATACTTCAAAAATACAAATTTCTTTACTTAAAATAAAAAAAACATAGTCTTATTCTCTTATATCAAGTATCATACTCTCTAAAATTAACCTTGATTATTGAAAATTTTTACTTAAATTTACTATATATTTAGAAACATAAATATAGTTATCTAAAGTT